CTCTCCGGTCTTCCAGCAAAAAGTTTAAAGTCCTTAATTCTGCAATTTTCTACTCCGACTTGTTCTGAAGAATAACGGGGCCTTTTTCTCTCTCTCCCCGGTGTTGCAGGGCTACAACAAAATGGCCAACCACATTCTCAACAGTACCACCCTTCCCAACTGGGCATATGTGAGTGACCAAAATGCCAGTTCCATTTTGCTGGAATCTGTGATTTCGTTCGCCGGGAAACTTCGGATCGGAAGCAGTCCTCTGGATGTCTCTGATCTCTTCATTGCGGCCAAAGGAGCCAGAATCCATAAAAACACCCCAGAGAAGAGCTTTACGTTTTCCATGGGGTTTAACGATTCCAAGAGTCACCTCAACGGGACGGTCTCCCTCCCAAGGGAAGGGCTTCAGCGGTTGCCTGCGGACTCCCCGGTGATCGTCGTTGCCTTGCCGACCCTTGGGCCTATCATTGAAAAAACTCTCTCGAAAGGGGGCGCCTCGAAAGGTGCCTCGGTGAATGGGATGGTGTTGTCAGTCGCATTGCCGGAGGCGCTCGAGAAAGTCTCCTTCGCGTTTGAAAAAATGAATAAAACGGCGAGCGCCCTGTGTGCCGCCTGGCACTCGGCCCTCCGAAGGTGGGACGAAACAGCCTGCGAACTGGAAAAAGAGAGTCCTGCCGTTGTGACCTGCCGCTGCCAACACCGGCCCGCTCTGTTCCAATCGTTTTCGATTCTCGTGTCCCCCGTTGCCCTCAAGCACCCTGCCCTGCACTTCATTACATGCGTGGGCTTGGTCGTCTCCATCTGCAGCTTGGTTCTGTGCCTGGCCATTGAGGCGGCCGTCTGGCGCCAGGTGACCCAGACCCAAATCTCCTACATGCGCCACGTTTGCCTGGTGAATATTGCAACCTCCCTTCTCGTCGCAGACGCTCTGTTCATCGTAGCGGCGTTTGTGAACGGCACACCCAGAAACCACAACGGATGTGTCGCCGCCACGTTCTTTGTACACTTTTCCTACCTCGCCTTGTTTTTTTGGATGCTGGCTTTGGGATTCTTGATTTTGTACGGGCTGCTCTTCATTTTCTGGCACCTGAGAAAGTCTACTCTGTTGGCCGCGGCTTTCGGCATTGGCTACGGCTGCCCGGCGGTCATCGCGCTTCTCACTGTGACGACCACTGAGCCAAGGAAGGGCTACCTGAGAGACGATGCCTGCTGGCTGAACTGGAATGAGACCAAAGCCCTCTTGGCCTTTGTCATACCGGCTTTCCTCATCATTGGCGTCAACCTGGTTGTGGCGTTGGTTGTCATTGCCAGATCCGGAAGATCTTCTGCTGGGGATCGCTCGAAGACACAAGACCTGGCCACGGCGATCAGAGTTAGCAAAAACCTTGTGCTCCTGACCCCGTTGTTGGGACTCACCTGGGGATTTGGGCTGGCCATTGTTCATGACGCTTCTTTGGCTCTCCACATTGTGTTTTCGCTGCTTAATGCGTTCCAGGTAAACCCAGCAGAATTTCTGGTCGGCACCCTAGTTACGAAAGATCTGTAAATTCATTTCTGGGCACAATTCAAAGTGCTGGTTCTTACTTTAAGGCCCTAAAGGACTTGGGCTTATGGTACCAGAAGGACTGTGTCCTCCCATACGATGAGGAAAGGCTGAAGAGTCTGGGACTTTTCAGTTTGGAAAAGCGATGACTAAGGGGGGAAATCAAAGAGATTTATAGAATTACTAGGGAGCAAAGCCCACTGTGGACGAAGACAATGAGTCCTAGAAAGGTAGGGTGGGTGGGTGGTAGATAGATAGGTAGATGGATAGATAGAGGGGATTGGAGAAAGAGAGGAAGGAAGGAAGGAAGGAAGGAAGGAAGGAAGGAAGGAAGGAAGGGTGAGGGGGAGAGAGACATAGACAGACAGTCAGTAAGCCAGACAGAGAGGGAGGGAGGGTGGGATAAAGGGGGGGGAGAATGCGCTCGCGGCGAGCGGTGATGAGCTGCCACCGCCAGCAGCCTTCCACTGATTCCCTCCAGCCCTGTCTAGTTGGGGGGGGGGGGGTCGGCGGCA